CCATCTCCAAGGCCCACCAGCGGCCGAGCGGTTAAGTCGCTGAACACTGGTAGTTCGGTCCGAGGTTCGAATCCCGCGAACGGGCTGGCTGCATGGGTATTTTCGTGGTTTTCCCCATGTGTAACGTGTATTCGAGCCAATTTCCCATAGAAAGTCCCCCACGAAGGCATCCCTTCCCTTAGGCAGATAGCCCTACTGTGCTTTGCCTTAATTAAATACACCACCACACCACACCCATCTCCAAGATTTCGTTCCCTGTTAAGTACATGGTTTTATCAGGTACGCGCATTTGATTTGCGACTACGTCATCTCTAACAGGAATAATTATACAATGCAAAGTTCAATATCTGCTGTTACTGTTTGGCGAAGGCCACATGTAAACAGGGCATATATCTGGATGCAGCGAATTTATATTCCTTAATAACATGGCTGAAAAGCGCCATCAACATGCAACAAATCAGAAAGCAATTGAATGGTCCAACGTACTGTTCATAGACTGTAAAACCGCCGAAACGGTCCTACGCAGGTATTGTTCAGATTTGCGTTGGAATTAGATAAATGTGTAAGAATCTAGAGATAAAAAGGAACGGGAACATGACCCATCAGTATTACTGGTCATATCATCAGTAGTAATGTAATAAACAGTAATCAGTGTACTAATGCTATGCTATGGGCTGGACATTCTTGGAGATATCACACTACGTACACATCTTTTAAAGACGGCTCAGATGTATCACGCTGAACTCCTTAAATTTCTGTATGAGACTGTCCGCTGCAGTATTTGGTTGAGAATTGGTTCTTATGCATGCAAACGTTTATATGAGCAGCTTCAGAATCTAATACGTCCCCTAACTACTGCTGCTAACTGCCTTCGGTAAATTCTAAAAATTTTTTGCCATCTCTAAATATTGTTGTTCGGTGTTTCTCTAAAATAAAAATTTTCCTGTTCTTAAATCCTGCTGTCCTCTGCTGCAGTATCGGTTTTAGGTCCTCTGCTGCAGTATCAGTTTACAACGGTTTCAGCGACTGTTCTGAGGATAACCCCAGGATCCAGACGTTCTTTTTATCTCATGTGCACCATGTTCACCTGCTGTTAAAGAGTAGGAAGCTATCCCAGGCGAATAGTTGTTCTCTCTAGAACAGAAATTCTCTGTCTCTAGACAGGAATTCTCTGTCTAGAACGTGTTGCAGAGCTTGCGTGAAGGTCAGAGGTGTCGCATCATTTATTAAGTTTCGTTTGATTCCATAGTTTGCATTTTTCTTTTTTCTATGAAGAGAATGCAATGTACATATATAAATGATTGTAAATGTTTCATGTTACTTCCTATAAATTTTGCTTAATGTATAATCGAATTCCCTAAATAATCAAAATATTAAAAACATGCTTTCCCAGTCGTGTCATATTTCCTGTCACAAGCTTAACTTTTAGAAGGTAAGATATAACTCATGAATGAAAAAATTCGTTAGCGATAGCTATACACTACCCGACATTGAAAATGCAACACCAGGAAGGATTGGCCCGGAATTATGCAAACTTCAGTGTAGACGCACGTCACCGAGTTATGCGAATGATGTGAAATACGCACGTTGAAGAAGGGGAAAAACTTGCAGAATGTTAAATTTTCAAGCCATTATTTCTGTTTGGGAAATCATCGTAGAAAGTGTGTTCTTGTCTCAGAAGACGTCTGAAATAGCAAAGAATGACAGACCGTAGTCAACGAAGGCAGTGCCAGCAGACATACGATTTTACGAGTGGTATGGTGATCGGACTGAGAAAGGCAGGATGGTCCATACTGCAAATCTCAGCTAACACACACCTGGACGCGTCCACAGTGCATCGGCTGTGGCGACGATGGTTGGAGAAAGGAGATATGGCAAGTTCGAGGGAGCCGGTGCAGCCAGAGTGACGTGGATCGACGCATCCACCGATTGGTAGTGGCGCACCCGCAAACTACTTCTACCTCCATTCTGCAGCATGTTCAAGACATCCTAGATGTTCCCATATCGACCAGGACCATTTGCCTTCGATTGGTGACTATTGGCGTCTGGTAATAAGATTGCCATTGACCCCACATCATAGACTCCAATGTATGTTATGGTGCCGGGTTCGAGCGATGTGGACGACGGAATGACACAGGATTATGTTCTCAAATGAGTCACACTTCTGTTTCTACAACGATAACCGTCGCGTACGATTGTGGCAGCGATGTGGAGACAGGCCCAATCCGGCAACAACTGTGGAACGCCCCACCATGCGACAGTGCGGCATCATGGTTTGAAGCGCAATTGCGTATGATTCCAGATCACCTCTACTTCGAATTCAGGGCACTATGACGGCCCAACGATACGTGCAGGATGTGCTGTGGTTGCTGACACTCCCCTATCTACAGGGAGTGCCTAGTGCTCTTTAATAGCAAGATAACGCCACACACTGTCGCATCAGCTAAAGTGCTCTGCAAGGTGTATAGATGCTTCCCTGGCCACCGTTCTCTCCTGATCCCTCACCAATCGAACACATTTGGAATGTGATAGGACACCATTTGCAGACCCTGCCATTGCTGCGTTCAGAAGACGAACTGTGGCAAATGACAGGGATTGGAGAGCCATTCCTCAGGAGACCATCCGTAGACTCATTGACACTGTATCTAGACGTTTTACTTCGAGTATCGTAGTCGAAGGTGGTCCTACAATCGACTGAGCCGACGCTGTTCTCGCTCTGTATTATGCATATCATTTCGAAATAAGGATCACTTATTGTTTGTTGCTGTCTTTCTCTGTTTGCAGAGTTTCATCCCTTTCTGGCCACTCCTTCTTGGTAATGCATTTTAAGTGTCGGGGAGTGTATATTGATTATTCAATTGTTTAACGCAAAGCACGAAAATTAGGCAGACGAGCTGGTTCCGTTGGAATTTTCGAGGTTTTTCTGATGTGTAACGAGAATATGAACTAGTTACCTTAGAATCTAAGAAGTCCAAGAAATCCAATCCAAACCACACGAGGAACATCTTCCTGATAGAATAGACGCCTTTATGCAGAGCCGGTAGGGGCGGCAAAATTTAGAAATTGTAGAGTTCGTGCCGGGCGGTAAAATGACTAGCACAGGGTCTGCCTTTGTGGAGGACGTTTTAAGGGAAATGGCTTGTATTTAAGTTATACATTCAAAAAAAAAAATCCTTCAACCAGCGCGTTTGTGGTAATTTGAGCCCGGGTCTAAATATCAATTTTCAGAAACTTTTCAGTCACTGATGAACGTCTGACTTACATTTAGATTCGTTCACGTAAGTGATGATATGGAATCAGTTCTTCTGGTAATGCAGTTTATTCAACGGGAAACTATTCTAGAAATATCTGGATTTAACACTTAGAAGATGCGATATATATGTCAACAGGCTATATTTTCATAGTAAAATCTGTTTATGATGATAGTAATTAAATTTTAGGCTTGAGAGTCCGCTGGACGATCAAGGACCTTCCATCTCGGTGATGGTAACAAAAGACATATATCTGGAAGCATTACATTCTGAAAACAGCATGGCGATAAAATTTGACATTATAGTAGGCATGGCAGCTTTTTTGCGGGGGGTGAGCTACGCAACTGCTTGAAGATTTTATACCATTGTGGTTTATGTATGCTGATTGATTGTTCAGGTAGAATTCATATCATGCAAGGCTAAAAAAAAAAAAAAAAAAAAAAAAAAAAAAATCAAAGGAGATAAATATTGTTTGAGCGCAAAGTTCAACCTGGTTTTATTAACATCTTGTTAAGCTTGAGGTTCCCAAAACTGTAGTTATTCCTAGCTCCTTAAACTGGTCCTCATAATTTATATTTTCATGTTATGTTTGCATGTGATATACTATTACAGGAGTATAAATTACAGTAACTAATTTTGTGCGCTTGAATTTATTTAAAATCTTATGAAATTTTGTTGTATATTTGAGTAAATTGATGAAAGAAAAATGATACTTTTCTACTCAACAAGTTATATCATGCGGGTGCAACATCTAATAACTGAATTTGGCTGCAAGAGATGTTAGAGTATACTTTTCTATATGAAGTGGCATAATTCGGGAAAGCACAGATCGTGACCACTCGCAATGTGGCATTCTGATTGAGGAAGTCTGGGCAAAGGAAGTTGTACTCGTTGATATGAAACAGATTCCTGTTTTGTCGTAACTACCTTATATACGGGATTTCTCACCCTTTAGCTCCTCCGTTTTCTCTTATCAAAATGCTAGAGATCAGCGATTTGCTCGCGAACTGATTCAAAGATCTACTTTTGTTTGCTCATCAAGCGAACGGTGATTTAACAAAATGGAACAGTTATTCTTTTAAAGTTCATTCACCGAGAACTCTTGTTGGAAGTGTGCGCGAGGACAGTCCTATTTCTAGTTTTGGGAAGAAAGGAATGTTTCTCTTCCTACGTTATATTGTGTTTAGTTTTTATCAATTCCAATTTTTTTGGCATTTTTTATTTCAGAATTTTATTGTTAATTTTATACAGAAATGAGGTTTTAGGGCATTTTAGAACTACAGTTGAAAGAAATCAGGAAAGCCGCTCGACTGAGTCGATTCTTTCCGCTTTTCGCTCTATCGTAGCACGCGGCCCTTGATTCACTCTCCGTTCTGTATTACGGACATTATTATTGTTAGTGAGCGGTGAGTTTTAAAAAGAAGCGATTCAATTCAATGAGCGAAGGATATGATCCTATAAAAGAGTGCTTTTCTCCATCTGTACGAAGTGCTTCTACGAGACCAATATTTTCAAATAATTCAAGCTAAATGATTCGACTGGCAGTCAACGATAAGATACTAAAAGCAGGATTCTGTTAAATCTTCCAAGATTGTCCGAGTTATTGTGGGTATTCCTAAGGATGTTATTTCGAAGGTCAATAGGTAATAATCCTTTCGCGCTTCAACAGAATTGCCTTGTTAGCATTTTCGGGAAAATCTCTATCCGTGAAAGGTGTATCTTTTTCTATTAATAATGATGCAGACAAACAACAAGTTACAACACATTTTATTTTAAATAACATGCACAATTTCTGTCGTAAACAAATCAAATAATTTACATTATTTGGACTAGTATGTTTTTAAGACTGACAAGACATTTCACTCGAATATTGAAGCAATATATTTTTAATTTTTAAAAATGTTCTATTTCTTTGCTGTTGAAAAGGAATATATCTAATCATACTGATCTGTTATTCATATTGAATAGTCCCCCTTTCTTTCCAAGACACTTTTTCTTCAGCCCTTTACTCTTAGAGAGTCATATTCTACATAGTACAGCTACATAATTACAACAAAGTCATTAAAAAATCTTCACATTTTCTGAGTATAGAATTTTGCAAGATTTCTTTACGACATAATAATCCATAGCTAGGAGCGCTTCAGCTAAGTCATCCAACAATGCACAAGCCATAACAGTACGATTACACGACAGAAAATTATTAATTTTAGTCAATTTTACATAATGTTATCACATATTATAGTGTATAAAATGATTATTTAAAATTTATATATTTGTATTTCTTGTGAAAAACATGAAATATTTAAAAAAAATATTTCTTATATATTGCAAGTAATTCTGTCTTCTTTCAAGTATTCTAAAATTTAAATATTTTATAAATGCTAATATATACTATAAATTATTTTGCGTGGAAGCATAAATCTATAATAAATGTACACTTTGAGAAAAAAATCATATAAAACCTAAAAAATTTAAATATTGCCTGTACGTGTCTTAAATAACACATATACGCGATATCACAAATATGCTTTCTAAGAACACTCGATAAATATCTCATGCATGGGGACTTTAATAACATAGAGATTTTTAATGTTTATTGTCATAATATCAGATTTAATTCAAGATCTTAAAACAAAAATAGTTAAACTTGAGGTGGAATTTTTTAAATAAAAAGTGTTAATGCTCTGAAGACAAGGAGAGACTTTTAATGCATTTTTTAAAGTGACAATTTTGCAGTTTCAAGAAGAAAAAAAAGCACAAGTCATGTATTCAGTGTGAAATATTATTCCTAACATTGACTAGAAATTATTTACATATCGTCTGTTGTAAAAGCGTAAAATTCAAAACAATATTTTGAAGTAGCAAAATTACAGCAACTAACTCTGCTTACAGAATCAAAAGTAAGGCACAGAAAAAAGCTCAAGGTAAATTCAAGTTAATTCCCGAAAAAATGCTTTGAATTGCAATTTTATTTTATTTTGCAGCTTGTTTTAAATATTTTTAACTTTGCTTCAGTTCAAAACTTTCCAAAGCTGCTTGAGTTTTATAAATTATATGAAATATGTTCTTCGGCAATTCAATTTTTTAATCTCTTTTTAAATATTAGGAATTAAAAAAATTTCCGTATAGTTTTATTCAAATCTCGGTTATCCTGTAATAGCAATGAAATTTAATGATTCTTTTCTGCAATATTTTATCATTCTCTCATTCTGAAAACTTCAAACTATTTTACAGTACTGTATGTTAATTATTTTATAGTACAGTTATGGTATTAGCGAGTTGATTTCTATTTTTTGTTATATTATGTGCTACAACAATATTTGCTTTCTTAGGACCAGAAAGGGACACGCAACCCTCACTTGAACTCTGAAGAAACATTTAGATGCATTTAGATGGGATATCAAGTAAAAAAACACGCATTTTAGGAGATTCAAAAACTTTATTTAATAGCTGCTTTAATAGGGTAAAGTGTTATTACTAATGGCATTTCCTAAAAAAATATTGTTGAATAATTTGTAACTTTTTTTATTAAGTTATACTGAGCTAAATAGTGATTGTATTTTGTAACTTTTTATTAAGTTATACTGAGCTAAATAGTGATATAAAGTCATAAAACGCCCTTTTGTCGAAGACCACATCTATCCACCCACTTTATTCATGGAATTAAAACGATCCGAATAGCCACGTGAGTTTATTTTCGTGGTTCATTTGCATTGAAAAGATAGTATACGGAAATACTCACGGTTCGTTATCATATAATAACATTTTATTAAATTTATAATCAAATCCATACAGTTTAATTCACTCAGTTTTAATTTAGAGTTAATTTTACAGTTGCTGGGTTTGGCTAATAATTTTTTGCTTGGTTCTGAACTTAGAATTTTCATTTCTGATTGTATAACTTCTTTACATTTAGTTCCTTTTATTTCTCAATATTGTATACACTGTACATCATTTACAGAAAATTATGCTAAAATCTTGTAACGATAGACTAAAATAAAATTCCTGTTTTACTTAAACCACTAAATATGGAAAAATTCTTCCAAGCTGGAAAAAATACTGTTTCAAAAATAAATACATGTGTTTAAAATTAAGTTGCAAACATATTTGCTTATCTTGGCTGGAACAAAAAATATCACTTATTTTAGTAGCATTTGCATATGATGTATCTGTGCTCAACTTAAAGTTTCCCCTTTTTGAAAGAGAAGAGCAGAAATTCTTGGCTTCGATGGTTATGGATCTTTCCAAGAATTATTTAACAAACGCTGTATGCATTTGTATTGCTTCATTAGTTATGAGCTCCACTTCTAGACGTTTAATGTACACACCTATCGGGTTGTCATACCAGACGGTGATCTCACCTACTGTTGCTGCCGCTGTCATTGATATTATTGTGATGACAGCCATGAGGCAAAGTTCTGTTTAAAGGAGAAAATTTGTCTGGCGACGCTGAGCCTTCAATTCCTAGATGTTTCCCGATGGGTCCATCTGCTCGAACATTCATTTCCTTTCTCATAAATCTCTCCAGTTTCTCTACACATGCATCTTGGTAATCATGAATCCACCTAAAAATCATATATAATTGAAAATAAGCTTCAATAATATATAATATCAATATAGTTTCACTGTAGTGGGGAAGTAAACAATTTTATCAATCATCTTCTATTTAACATCGGACGGATACTTTTATAGATTTTAAATTTTTACCTTTCTGAATTAAATTAATAAGTAGCTCAAAATTTATAACTTCGTTTATACAGCTATCACTTGTTAATCACGTTTAATTGGTCCCTATAAAATATCATGTTAAATAAAGAAGGGTTAATTGAATATAAAAATGCATATAAAATAGTGTAATTCTTCCTATTATTAATCAAAGTCTCTTTTTAATTCTTTAACTATTAAAAAATTGTAAAATTAAAAAGGAGTAAAAATGATAAATAAAAAATTGTAAATTCTATGAGTGGTAGAAGTGAATTATAAATTACCCAGCTTTTCTTTTTCCTTCATTTTTAGTTAGCATAACACGCATCATCATAGTCTAGGCAATTAATTATCTTAAGTTAGTTTCGAATTGAGGAGTTCAGACTCCTGCACCATGGCCCTGCTCCAGATACCTGCAGATCTTTCTTTTGTTTATAGTTTCCCGCCCCTTCTATTGTATAAAAAATGTCAAGAGTTTATATTTCATTACGAGAATGTAAAAATTTCGTATGAAATAATTGTCATAATGATAGAGAAGGGGAAAAAATCAAGTTAATAACAGCAAAATATGACTAATGACAGCAGAAGAAATTTCATCTTTCTGAATTATTAAAAAATAATTAATGTATGTATGATATGTGTGTAAAAAATCTCTGGCATAAAAACGGAAAATATATTCTCGAGTAAATACTATGTGGCGTTCCGTTTTATTAAAGAAAGTAACAGTATACCTAACACCATTGAAATAAGAAACGGCCCTCATATCTTCTGGCAAGGATTCTGCTTCTGGCCATTGAAAGTTATCCAAAATTGGAATGATGTTACATTGACACTTTAGTGCTTCCACAATTTCCTGTAAACATAAATTATAATAAATTTTAACCGTTTCTAAAATCATATTTTACTATTTGTAAAAAAAATACGCATTGAAGCAATACACTGATAAATTTTAAATATTTCCTATACTAAAAATAAGTGTTTTTCAGTTCAGAATTCTAAGCCTGAAAAATTATTATTCATGAAATATGCAATATTCCGAACTGATGAAACAATTTTTACTATAAACTACTTAGTTAATAAAATATGTAACAGTTTAATCGATTTAATATTTTGGAAAAATAAAGAATTTTTCTTAACTTAATAATTTAATGTTAAGAATTTTAAAATCACGTGTGCTGCCTCGATCAATGCATTAATTATCGAACATAAAGAATCGATTTCCTAGCCGTTACGATAACTAGTATTTTGTTCCTTTGGGGCTACATCTGTGGAATTGAAGTGGATAGTCTAGTCAATAATGGAGGATATAGCAATGAAAACACCGTACTCAGCTACAGACTGTCTACCTGTAGTTCTGGGTGCTTTAGTACCACACATAAAAATATACTGATTCATGAAATCAGAAAGATACTCAAGGAGAACATCCTTCTGATTTGTGAGCTTCGATACCATAATTCACAAAATTAAATAATTTGAAGATTATTGAAACAAAAGTTAGATAATGATGACAATAAAATTTTAATAGTAATTAAAAATTTAATAATAAAATAACTTACTCTATGCACCCAATCTTTACATTCGGTGTCGTTGATACACCGGTCCAAAGCATTAGCAGTCAGAACAAGTAGAAAATGCCTTGCTTGTCTTACACTATTCAAGAGGTTGTTATCAAATTTTCCTGCCTCAAGACGTTCTACATCAATGAAAACACTAAAACCTCGGAGTTGTAGATGGACTTTTAATAAACTGAGAAAATAAAAGTAAAATAATGTTTCTGAATAAATAAACATAAATTATACAATAATAAATGTTTTGGTTAGTGAAAAATATTTATAAAAGAGGCGCAAAAAACGCGTGTCATCAGGAACTCTGTTAGTTGTTAAAAATCGATTTTTTTAGGAATTATCCTCAATGCTTAATTAATTTCAAAAGACAAATGAAACATTGCTTAAGAGCAAGAGGAAAACAAACTCTTGCCTAGGAACAGATCATTCTGCTTCTAAAGAAGAGAGATTGTGCCATTCCCTCCTTAAAATGCATCAAATCTATTTATGCACTTAATCATAGTATTTAGAATACTTCAACAGGATAGGAAACAGGATAGAGCCCCTCGATAATATGTAAATATATGAATTCAAATTGTAGGCTACATGCATGAAAAACAATTTAGTATTTACAAAATTAAAAAACTTAGCAAGTAGCAAAAGTTCAGCTACTAACTTCTTTTAATAGAAGCTCTTGAACTACTATCTACTAAAAGAGAAGTAACAGCATACCTTGAACATGATCAGGATTTACCTTGAATATGATCAGGATTTGTTTAAGTTAGACAGAAACTTATAAAAACGCACAATCAAATGTTTATTACCTCGCTAACTGTGATCCATTTGATCTCCGGTAGCTAATGAATACATCCAAACTTTTAGGATTCAGTTCTTCACCAGAGTCAAGGCCGTTACGGTTACAACTCAAGCCTGAAATATAAGAACCAATTTTTTATGTTGTTTATTATTTCACATATGTTATTAATTACTCTAATATAATATCATGTAAAATAATACTGTGGCTCAAAGGCACCTTGGGAATTTTACATACAGACAACACTTAAATTCATACGTTTAGTTCAATATTTTGTTTTCTTTGCTGAAGAAGAAAAACCTATGAAAATTCTTCGAAAACAGACAAAATTTCATTTAAAATTTACAGCAACCAAAGTTTTTTTTTTTTTTTTCTTTTTTTCTTTTTGTTTTTGTTGTTGCTTATTTTATAGTATACCTCTACTTAAACATTAACATAAAAACGTGAGCTGTTTGTCATTTAGTTTTCCGTGTATTTGTAAATTTTAAGCTTGGCTCTGCAGGTTTAACTCGAACATGATAAAAATCATTGACAATGGGACACAAAATAGTCTTGAAGATGGGCAACTTCCAACTGGTCGATAAAAGGATGCTTTTAACAATTAAGGGACAAGCGTTTAAAGAATATTTAACGAAGTATCAAAAAAGGAACACAAATAAAATTGAAAGCTTTAAAATTAAGTATAATTTCTATTTTTAAAATTATTTTATTTTCGCATAATTAATAACCTGAGATCAAAGAAAATTGCAACAGAATATGCTACAGTAACAAGTATACTAATTACAATTTTTCTGCGTATGATTAGAAAAATAACTTCGAAAAGGAATTCTTTCCAACTGAAAGGTTTTATTTCCTTTATAGGTTAGGAAGCATGAGGGTTTTCTCTTTTTCAGTGTTCATTAAACAAGTTTAAATTTGCAGAATGATATGAGATTTTTAAAATCTTCTTAAAGAAATAATAGTCCCACTTCATGATAATAAAAAAATTAAAAAAAAAAAAATACGAGAGACCTCAGCGTAAATAATAATCAAGGAGACGATAAGCATTTTGCTACACTTGTGCGATGTGCAAGTGTTATAACCATTCACCTAAAGTTTGAATTCGCAAGGGGATTCATGTCGACGCGCAAACTGTGTTCCCATTGTCCTCTTAATTTTTTCACCTTTGATGGCCCGCATCAGCCTCATTCTATGGATACTGTTGGTGATGCCACATTCCTCTTCCAACTGCTCTGGAACGAGGTCCCTGAGACTGTCTGTTTGGACACCACTCAGCAGCATCTGATAGGTATATTGGCAGAATTCAGGTCCGGTACTTTGTAGGAAAGAGCTCAAAGATGTTGTATCACATGAAGAATAGTCAGCCAAGCACTTGAGTTGGTTCAGATCCCTTAGGAACCTGAAATTAAAATTAAAAGAATTATGAATTTCATGTCTTACATAATATTTTGAAAAGAATGCCAAACGTACGGTAATACAAATCTGTTATTTTTCCTTGACTGCTCATAACATTCTTTTTCTGTGCTGACATTGATAGAGAAAAAATTGCATGTTGGCCACTATAACACCATTATATTTAAAAAAAAAAAAAAAAAAAAAAAAAAGAGTTGTTTGAGTTTATACCAATTAGCGGTTGGGGCGGCTATCAGGCGGTAGTTATACCATATAGTGGTCAGGACGGTTCAAGTGCTTAATTGTGCAAAGAAACATTCTTGTACTTAAGGAAAATGTCGTCCTAATGTAGAAGACCAGAGAGCTAGTTTTTAATTGAATTGATCATTAAGACTATCCGCTTATACTTTTAATTATATTATGCACTTAAGTTCTTGTCAAGTTAAGCAGAAGAATGCCCGTAACTCAAAATTAAATACGTAACTGTTGACTCTTTAGTTAAGTTCTTATTCTTGGCATTTCGGTTGAGCTTCTATTGATTTAAATAGTGTGTCTATTCTAAAATAAACAAATAATAAATTAATATTAATAAGCCTTCCAGACGCACGATTTGTTTATCAGCAATATTCACATACAAAGCGCCTCTTCATTCATACCACTAAGGCTTTTAAGGCAAAAGGAATGCAGACCTAGAACTTCGCACCATTCTAAAGGATACAAGTATCCCTTTCATCAAAGTCAGTTTCACTAAAGATTCATACAACTGCTCTTTTCTAAATTTAAGGAAGTCATTCCTCGTTCTCTGCTTATTAATGAAACGTATATTTTTTTAGCTGTAGCAATATTGGAGCAGGCGGGCTATAGATGATGAATAAGGATACTGTTGCCAGAAACTCTGTATTGACAAGAGAAGTGATCTCATTCACATAACAAACATGCGTGTAACCTTATTTGCTTGTTATTCGCAGGGCAACTGCAAATTTCCAAGGGTTTCTAGGTGTCGGTCTAAAGAAATGGACTAATAATACCTTGAACAACATTGCCCGATTATATTTTATGTGAAACTTAATGAAAATGCAATGTAGACATATTAAGAAATGATTTAGGCATGTATAAAGTATAACGAAATCTTTACACTGCAAGGAAAGTGGGGAAATGCAACGCTCTTCAGAAAGCCTTAGATGACCCCCCCCAAAAAAAAAGAAAGAAAGAAAGAAAGAAAAAAAAAACCAATGAAAACCATCAAACATTGCTAGTTCTTTCACGATTGGTCTAAGAGGTTTCATCAATCATACCGATGAATTCTCATATATCTGTCATTTTTACTTCGTTGTACGAAGTAAAAAAGAAGTATTGTAATCGCGAAAAGTTTCAGGCAGCATATTTCAACGAAAATATGCATTTTGACCGCTTTCGAATGCAATTTAACGATGTTTTTGCGTGGTATCTGTAAAATCAAAAAATTATAAAACTGCTTTAAAAATCATATATATATATATGTCATAATAAGAGCAAAGGAAAAGACGGAACACTGTAGATGCGTGATTAGACCGATATTGAAGAAGAATTTTGATTGCGTAGTATTTAAAGAACTTGGCAGTCGAGGCAGTTTTAATTCCATTTTTATTTCCAATTGATATTTGTGGCCACAATTACTTGACACTCTAGTCGTGCCTTTCCACAGAAGATTTACATTTTTGATATTGTTGGGATAGCAAGCAAGCCAGCGAAATTACATCTTAGCACAGTTGAAGTGCCTAGTTATGTAAGATGGAGGCACGCGAAGAGAAAAGTTTTGGTTTACAAGGGCAGTTTCAGTTCCCAATGATTACGTCATCAGAGCTGCGCCGATCATAGAGTGATCTAGAAATGACGCAATGCAAAGAAGTTATTACGATTTTAGAATAGAGAGGAAGAATTAATGTTTTATAGTTTAATCTATAATTTTGATTCATATATTTTTATCTTACATATATATATATGTGATATCAAAAAAATTCAAAAAAATTATAAAACTGCTTTAAAATGAATTCTGAAGAGAATTTTTCATGGCGTCGTACGTACGTACGTATCTCGCGTAACTCAAAAACGAGTAGCCTCAGAACGCTAGAATTTTGTCTATAGGACTACTATAACATGTAGATGTGCATCTCGTATTTTGGTTGCAATCGCCCCCGCAAAACGTATATAAATATATTTTATATATATCCACTCTGTTACCCGGCTCAGTGATCTCAAGTTCTTTACTCTTATATGTTTGTAAATTGTACATTTTTTGCTTTAAAAATGATTGAATTATGTTGTTCTTATTTTCCGGTTAAGGTTTTTATGCCTTTAGTAAATCTGTATGCAATATTTTTAGAATTATCAACAATTTTAAAGTTGTTTAAGTGCCACTAACCTAATAATTTTTTTTGATGGCGGCCATTGCTTGTTTACATTTGAAACAGCAGAGTAGTGGATTTGTTGCCAATCTAGAGAAACGTAGCTTCGCGACAACAATGATAACGCATTCATTTATTATTGCCAATTAAATCATGCTTAATCCTTTCTGGAATTTTTTCGAGGAAATAAGTGTTTAAGATTTACTTAATTTCTAATAATTTAATTTTTAATAATTAGTAATTTAATTTTTAATAATTAGTAATTTTAATACATATATTTTGAGTTTTTATGTATTTTTGCCTTGTCGCGTAGTGAGAACTGAATTAATTGAATGAGAAATACTCAATCGTCTATGAAAAACGTATCTCGAAAATGTATATTTTAAACGTATATTTTTTGTTTTGTTTGCTTAATTTCTTTTACACATCGTTCTAGCTTTATTATAGTATTTGAATAGAACATGTGGCAACGATTAGATAATTTTTTTAATGATATAAATTTTGTGCATTCTGAGTTATAATATGATGAAATGTGACAGTCATCCTAAGAATATCATCAAAAAACTAGGAAATTATGATTTCACAATTGAACAACGCCATAAGAGGCCCCGCACTATTCACCATAATAGTCGGTGGTAATGTATATATTTTCGTTTTCTTCTTATTTAGCCAAGATTTTACTTCTTTTTCTTTACATAGAGATTTACTTATCAAATTACAATACGCTATGGACTTTGTTCCTGCCAAACCAAGTAGACTTTGTATGTAAATAGTTTTTACGCTTGTGAAACGTTTCAATGTACTGAAAATTGTGTTTTTCATCATTCTACTTTCCAATTATTGCTTATCAGAAGAATAATTTTTATGAAATTTTAAAAATGCCTTGCAATACACACTGCAAGAGATGGCGCAACCAGAGCTCCAGTCAACTAAAATGTTTGATGGCGCCACACTAGCGCCTCATTTGTTCAAGTTTAGTTATTCTGGCGGCACAGGAGCCTCCTTCGCTAGTAATCTCTGAGTTCTAGCACAGCATGTGCACAAATATTTCCATATTATTGGATACAACTTACTCGATTCCTCAAGCACTTAAAAGTCAAGTATAATATATTAGTAAAGGCCGTTAATGGTCGATTGCCTCTTACTAAGTGATAAGACATAGACATAGACATAATTATAATATGAACGAAATATAATGCTGTTAAGTGAACCTAGCGCCAGAGTGTCGCTATGTTAAACAAATACAGTGGATTTTAAAGAATGCATTTATTCTATTGCGGTTTATGCGTTGTCGGCGAAGTAGATTTAATGAAATCCAATAAGTTTAAATGAAATGCAAGAAAAAATGCGTATAGTTTAATACTCCGTACAAGGAAGTCATGTGGTGTACACATCAGATTTTTATTATATGTAATCTAGTTTTATATTCGAAAAGACATTCCAAATCTACCGCTACCCATCTGATTTAAGTCTGGCTGATTTCGCTGGGTTTTCCCAATTAAAATACCAGCTGAAGTTCATCATTATGACAAAGTAGATACTTTTCAATAAAACGTGCAGGACCAGTTGAAAGAGCTTATGCTGGAATATTTCTTTCACTGGTTCAAAGAGATTGATTTTTATTTGATTATGACAAAGCACTTGAGGGCTATCTGCCTAAGAAAGGATTTCCTCGTGGAGGACTTTCTAAAGGAAACTAGCTCGTTCGCTGGGATCTGAACCCCGGACAAAACTACCAGTGTTTAGTGATTTTACCGCATGGCCGCTGCTGGGCCCTCTGCTTCAAAGAGAGTTCGGTCTCCGTCGGTAAGTATCCATTCAAAAAAATTACTTTGAAGCCGTAATACGGATTTGTCTCAGCAAATATTATTTTTTTACCAACAATATCATTGTTTTTACGTCTCAGCTTCTTATTTGTCTACAATATTATAGGAATAATCATCTGGTTTTTAGAATTACTGTATTTTCTGTGAAATAAACTTTGACAGCCTGTTAAAATAGCAGCAAATAGCAATTTAGGGTGTTTGAACACTTTCGAAGGACTTTTTAAATATGTTTAAAAAGTGTGTAATTTAGAAATACTGCATAAAAGAATGATATAAAACGGGACAAAACGTTAAAGGGTTAATCACATTTATTTTTCATAAACATTAAACATAAATTATCATTATTTGAAATATATCATTACACGTTTATAAAAATGCTAATTCAGTGAAGAAAATTAAAGAAAGAAACTTTTCTAAAACTTCAAAAAATCCGCACTGAAAAACAGTTGCACTGCGTGCTTTCTCCGAATAATATAATAATAGGATACTAGTGTGCTATTATAGCACGTCTAGTAACCCTTTAAAATTTCTAGTAAGCCTTTTAATGTTTAGTAACCTGTATAACTGCCGTTATACATATACATGTGAAAAAGTCTGTTGTCCAACAAAAACATCTTTTGCATTTAACTTCAATGAAATATCTTTGAAACTCTTGCTTGCGTTCGCTGTTCTACCGTATAAAAATTTTATATATGAATTTTGATAATAGCTTCATGTAGAAAAATTTAATTATTATCATTATGTTTTTGGCTTCCTTTTAGCTTATTGTGCATTTTGCTACACTTGCTGTCGAAGATGAGAGACTAGTAACCATGCATCAGTTACCTTACATTTGAATGCCGATGGAACATTGCTGCAATTCTTGTATTTTGTCTACTTTGCAAATTATTGGCATTTGCCGTGAAATTACAGTCCTATAGTCATTTTTCAGATTATCAATAAAGACTAATTTTTCTGTGAATTCTCTTAGAAACCTACAGCCGACACACATTTGAATTGCCCGATACATGTATCTGATTAACTCTATTTTCTAAATTATTATTACTTACATCTATCTCTCAAAACCTCACTGAAAATACAAGTTTAAAATTTTCTCTTTAAGTTAGTTTTTAACAGATTTCAATCCCTTTAAAAGACTGCTTCCTAGGACTTAAACGCTCATTTTAGCTGTCTTGACTTTATATAATCTTTAATATCTTCTCTTCGAAGTAACACAGAGCTAAAAGCAAACATTATAAAGCTCAAAATATTCTATGCCAAAGCATAAACTAAAAATATTATTTTTTTTCATCAAAATTGGCTATTTCAAAGTGTACTTTAAGTTGATAAATAACAGTTATATTTTTATTATTTATATTTCTTGAGAAAACGTATGTCTTTAATTATTAAACGTTTTCATTAAGATAAATTTGTATATTTACCTTTTCCTTAGCAGTCCATTTGCTAAACATATGTCATTTTCTAAGGACTTTTCTGTCATTTGTAAGAGTAAATCACCATCTACTCTGCTATTCAGAAATTCCTGAGTGTATTCAGAGAAGCCAATCTAAAACATAAATAAATTAATGGAAATTGCATGAAATAACCGTGTCAACTGTATGACACTACAGGCATTATTATCGTGCAATGAGGGGGTCTACAAATACAGAGAGAAGAAGCTGTTGATTTAAAATTTACGTCTATGAAATGAATTAGATCTTGACACAAAAATTTACAAGCCAACGAAAACATTAAATCTACCTAACCCAATAAGCAATTAAGGTCTCCATTTTCTTAAATTTCGTGGTTGTAGTTGGGGTGGGTGATACAATTCGTTACTATATTGCTGACTCGGATTAAAAATTCTCGATTAGATTCATTTCTGTTGAACATGAAACCTCCTTTTGCAGTAAATAAAATTTCTGATTATATTCTCAGAATCATTTTTAAGTTTCTTCGAAAAGAAACTTGGAAATTGTCATCCTCTCCAGAAATGTCATTCCTTATGAAAAAATGTCATCTTCTCCAGATGATCTATTCCCCATACGAATGTGTATTTGAAAAGCTACGATGTTCAGGTGTATGTAGGGAGGGCTGACATAATTTATTTTACAGAAATAAATGGGTCTAAGTGCTTCCTTAAAGGTACACTAATGTTTGGAAAATTGCAACATCATGAAGGAATTGTTCAAATTGAGCTAAACTTACAGGAAATGTAAAGTGAGGTAAGACATGCAAATAATTTAAATTACAAAGCGATTACGCATGCGTGGAATGAGAACCGCCCTCTTGTTTCACGCATATAAAGGACTTTTTTTTACTTTTACACTGCTAAGGAGGACTACTGACCGGGAACAAGCCCTTGCAGTATGATGTCCGCCCTGCAAACATTTATTAAGTCTAAATTTAAAAAAAAAAAAAAAAAAAAAAAAGAGTACAGAGTCACATCTAGATAGGGAATACAAAGGACTACCTTGAATACATATGACATTCCTGATAGTATAGGTTACAAAAAAAAAAATAAATAAATTAAAAAAAAAAAAAACTTAGAAGTACAAGCTGCATTGATACAAAACTGGTAAGGTAAAACAAAAACAGTAAAATTTAAAACTAACATTGGAATTTCAAGCCTGCAGTTATACATCACACTGACTTACTATTATACACTTACTATAATTCCGCACATTACAACATATTATGCAATATATTACTATAAGACTGAAAAACACACTAACATAGTAAAACTGATACTACAATAAAACACACTATATACACTGTTCGTATCAGAAAAGTACACACTGACATAGTAAAGCTGATATTACAAATAAAACACAACATATACACTTGCTTGTATCAGAAAAGTAGACAATTCTGTACATGATGCTGTACTGTAACGCTAAAACTAAAGAACACTAGACAATAACCTTTGGAAACAGTCACAGTGAAATTAGGAAATAATATATTCTAGCAGAGTTAGAATACGAGTCATTTCAAAACATTAAATCCAGCAAAACATTTCAATACATATTTACAAAGTTCTACAACCAAGAAAGTCTGATTCAATACTACTATTATAACATCACACTTACTTATCATTATACGACCCTAAACTATTATACTCCACATTAATAGAAAAATTATTCAAGATACTTAATGGAATACTGTACATACATTGAAATAAAATGGCGAATACTACAAAAAATAACAATCAATATACAATGTGCTTATCAGAAAGTTGGTTCTGCGGCCACGAATATTTGTTAGAAAACTGTTGCCATTTTTGCACAGTACTAGAAACTGTTACAAATATTTGCACACAATATTTCATGGTACTAGCCGAGAGCTCTATATATGTATTTACTATTATACCGCAAACTTAATTGAAAACATAACACAACGCACTTACTACTTAACAGGTCAATACACTAAGACAATATGTAAATTGAAATACACAGAATACAATACAAAATTAAGTAAACACAATAAAATTTAAAGATTAATAATGGATAGAAGCGACACTGAGGTACAAATAGACAGACATTGATTGTGGTAATCTGCATCTAGGAGGTAACATGTTTCCAGCAAAGTTATTCATGTACTGCACTAAACATGGCTGTCATGCATGTAGGTAACATAGGTACAATGGCATGCCATTAGTCTCTGAAATTGTCCTAATTTTTCAGTAGTTGAATATTATCGTATATAATAAGATACCAAATTTGTAAGGTAAGAATTATGAAAGTTGTTTGGTATAGAATTGCCTGCTGTAGCTGCTGTTGACACACCGCTTCTGTTCAAACAGAATTCACGAGCACAAATGTCCATTACTCGATGAATCTGATTAAATGCGAGCTACTACTTCTCTTGAGGGTGTCTGACCACCCGGACCAGTGTGCTTCAGAGAGGGTTTTTTTAAATGAAATGGTATCGTGAGAGAGCATTCGAAAGCAAACTGATCCGGATCACCTAGTGTTCCACATCTACAACTGTCTGAAGTAGCTAATCTGAAGCGCCGTAAATAGCTTGGAAATGGTCCCGTGTCCAGTAAAGAAATGTGTAAGATGAGCACTACTAGTGACCAGATTCAGACCAACTTTGGGGAAGAAACGAAAGGTTCTGCGGCCTGTGGTGGAGTTGTTCCATCTCTGTTGCCAAATTTCTAACATTTTAAGTTCGGTAATCTTTTTTAAATAGGAAACTGGTGCTTTTAGGGGTGTTACAGGCATATTCAAGTCGTTAGCTGCTAGCTTAGCAAGCCTATCGGCCTCTTCGTTTCCAGCAATGCCTACATGCGCTGGAACCCAGCTCAAGTACGGTCGTTGGGACTCGGGAATCTGAAGTAGAGCATCCCTAATAATGTGGACAGAAATCCGCTTTGCTGTTGAGTTCTTTAATGGCCAGTAGGCTCGATGCTGAATCACTCAGTATTCTGACTGGTCCTGTTAGATTTTGCTTAGTATAATCTAATGCTGTCCTTTATTGCTACAAGTTCCGCCTGAATATACACTATTGTAATCTGACAGCCTCTGTGACCAAGTGTAGCAGATAGTATTGCCTCGCATGACGCAGAAGCCGCTACCTGTGCCAAGCTCCGTTTTGGAACCATCCGTATAAAGACAAATTTCGTGCCTAGCCGGAATTAAGGGCTCTATGGTGACTTTGTCATCATAATTTATGTCCGCCGGATGTCCTAGAGAACGAGGGGAATGATCCTCGTAATCACGAGCGCGGTAATTGGTACCCCACAAGATAAAATCTTCCTTTATGCGTAGGATCCGTGCTTGTCCAGCCTCCCTCTCCACGACAAAATCCAATGGTGGTAAACCCAGCGAGCACCTGCAATGAATCTGTAGAAGTGGTCCTATAAGCTTTAGTAATCATGAGGAGTTGGAGACGCTGAATAGAATTGAGTTTCCTTCTCAGGTTTCCATTGAGATGAATACCCCATGCTGAAGACCCGTACAAAATCACCCTCGCTGTTATTGTACGATACCAGATCTTCAACATGTCTGGTCTAATGCCCCAATACATGCCAGTAGTTCGTCTCATGTTATTGGTAAGAGATACTACTTTCTGGTGTATATGATGCAAATGTGGAATCCAGTTGAGGCGGTTGTCTATGATGACACCTAGATATTTCAACTGGGAAACAAGCATATAAAGGACTACAAAGTTGAGAAGAAATCTGTTTATCCTGCACTGTCTGTGGTGAACGTTTAATTAGTGGTCAATACACCTCGTTAACAGCGGTGGGTGATATAAACACAACTAATGGAGCTCGAACGAGGCCGCATCGTCGGCATGCGAGAGGGTGGACTTTCGTATCGAGCAACTGCAGCCCGCACGCAGCGTAATGCTATAACAATGATGCATGTTTGGAAGATATTGACAGAATCCACATGGCTGTGACGGCTCGTACAGCGTCGTCGTAGCCATGTGGCTATAGGTTGTAGCACGGCTATAGGTGGTTGTGTTGTCTAGCTTCACGGTTCGTCGCCATCTGCTGCAGCATGAACTACGTGCAAGGGTTTCTCTACGCAGGATTCCCATATTGTTAAATCATAGACGACTTCGACTTCAATGGACAAGGCAACACAGTAGCGTGCCCTGTGGCAACAAGTTGTTTTCTCCGATGAATCTCGCTACAATCTGGAGTACGTTGATGGAAGAGTACGCGTCAGACGTTACAGAGGAGAATGTCTGCTCCCACAGTGTATTATCTAGCGTTATACGGCCCAAACGCTTGGCATCATGGTGAGGGAAGCTATTGGATATAATTGTCGATCTCGTATAATGCAGATTGCCGGTAACCTCAACAGTGATCGCTATATAAGCGAAGTTGTGGAGCCAGAGGTCCTCTTAATTGTTCCGCACATTCCGGGCGTTGTATTTCAGCAGGATAATGCTCGTGAACACGTTTCTCAGACTGCACAAGCCATCTTTAGGGCATAACAGTTTTCGCTTCTTCCATGGCTTGCTTATTCTCTGGATATGTCGCCCACTGAGCATGTCTGGAATTTCATCGTTCGGCGACTCGCTCGTACAGCTGATGGGACACACACTAAGACTGAACCTTGGCGTCAACCTTGAAGCCATATGGAATGCTATTCGCCAGGATTACATTCAGAACCTGTACGATTCAATGCCATGACTTATACAGGCACTCATTGCTCAGCGTGGCGGACATACAAAGTACTGATTTCCGACGTTAGTTTTGTTCTTTTTATTTTGTAAATTTGATCGTTTATTACTACTATCAATAAAATATGGAGAATAAATTTCCTTCATTTCCGACAATTCCTTCATGGTGTTGCATGTTTCACAAACATTAGTGTATTTCTAGACCATCATAGTTAATTTGCTTTTAGAGAAACTCAAAGCTAAATATCGTACACAAAGTCTTATGAGTCGCAGAAAAAGGTATTCAAATCATTATATATGATCGTCCATTCATCGATAGACATGTGTTAATGATTTAGTGTTAATTGCAAGTGTTTATCAAGATAAATGGCTGAAGGAACTGGTATACGCTGAAGTTTGTGGGTGCACAAAGCCCACATGTAAGATCTTAGAATGAACTTTTTCAGAGTTCGCTGGGCATCAATACGCGGCTAAAATTAGGGATTATGGCAAATGTATTTACCGTTATAGAGTTGTGTACACAGAAGTCTGTGCTATTCTCTAGTTTAATAAGCTGCGGTTACTGGGTACAGTATTTGTTCCGCGAAGTCCATAACTAATAAATACAATAGATTAAACTGCGCAGAAATTTTCCACTATTTTATACTATATAATCAACAGTTTTTCTTTTCTTATCAGCATCTTATTTTAATTTGTTATTCAAGCAAACTGAAAAAAAAATTAAGGTAGGAAATAAGGTAGGAATAAATAGGAAAATATAGTAAAAATGGTTTCGCGAGTATGAGTATTTAAGAAAACAGTTATACACGGCATTGTAACTTTAGAATAAAGTGACAGAAATAATATTAAAATTGAATCGAATATAAAACTTAATACATTAGCTTATGTATTTTAATTTAATAGTTAATTCGATTATTATTTAATAAATTAGCTTATGTTATTTTTATAAATTCCTTTGTTTATGATATTTTTATAATAAATAGAACATTAAGAATTTAATTAGAAAATAACGTTTTTAAAAAATGGTGTTTTCAATTTTTACATTCTTAATTGAACATTCTTTTAGGAAGGATAATTCTTTTTACGAAAGATAATCATTCTTCAATCTGTAATAAAAAAAGAAAAAGGCATTTCAATGAATAAAAAACAAATAAAAGTTTAATAAAAGATTTTGATGCAATTCTTTTCAAAACTTAATATTTGAGTTGGACTTCTCGAACTAATTTGTCATTTTCTCATTTTCAAATTTCCAAACCGGTTTAAAAAGTTTTTTTGGGAGAAGCATTGTACAAAGTAGTATCAGATACTAGTGAAATTTAAATTATCTATCAGTTATGACAACAAGTGAACGAAACTTGAAAAACGTTTTAGAAAGAACAGTTCGATACGTTATTTTTATTATCAGTAATGAAAGTAAATAATTTCAGTATTAGAAGTGATATTCTTATGAAAGAAAACATAATTTTTGAGAAACTTCGATCAATAAGAATTCTATGATATTAAAAATGAAAATGGTTTGATACCTGATAACCATTTTACTTGGACTCATTTGAAAAGAACGAAAACTCTATTTAAATATTAATAACAGTACCCATATCATTTCAAGTGCTGTGTTTATTAAGTGTATTCCTACCTGTTTTACCCACTCGACAACATCTTCGACTGTCCACAAAGGCACTTGTTGGGACAACTTATGGGGCACGGGTTCTCCTATGAGTTGCAGAGCTTGTGCTGCATATTTAGAGGCAAGAGCATTTGGAGAACTAGCAACGTTCTTCAGACAGTTGATTACCCCAATCTCACGGAACAGCTGAAAAACAATAAAGACTAACATCAATTTCCCATGATGTTTTTTCGCAAACATACAAAATATTTCATGCAAGGAAAAAATTCTCTGATATATATAAATGGATATTTTTTAATTGATTATTAAACATATTTTCTAGAAATAATGGTTTCGCAGATCCGAGGCTTTGCATGATGCTGAAGATATGCTTCGTTAATGCATTTGGTTTTAACAAATCGTTAAAGAAAGCTTTTCCCGCGATGATAAGAAATAGAGTTCAATTCTTAAACTATTATGGAAAATTACCAATATGATATACAGATCTCTAAAATTTAATTTAAACATACTTATATTTTTAGGGATTTTACATAACTGGAATCCCGCAGTGCCTTAACACTAATTCACAGGTACGAGAATTTTAAATAAGGGCTAATGTCTTTTTCTAACAGCAATTTAGATCAAAAACAGAGGGATAGACAAAGAGATCATCAAGGAAAAATATTCTGCAGCATTTGGCTTGAAAAACGGCACTTAAGTACAAGCCTCCTTAAAACCTGCCCTTGGCCTGGGTCTTTTGGCTCTCTTCGGCAATCAGGTTCTGTACAATATCATTTAAAACTTAAGAAATAACTTCTAGAGATTCACAATTTTGTAGTTGTTCATCACTTTTTTTGTACCGAAGTAACTAAAAGTGCATCACATTCCAGCTGTTCAATATACAAAAGTACCACTTGTCATTTATGCGAAGTATATCAGAAATATTGTCTGAATTTTCTGCTATCTTGTTGTACTCTAATAAAAATTTCATGAATTGTAAGAAAACTGCGTTGTTAAGTTAATCACGGACAGCGCAAAATTTCGCTCAATGGTAACTCGGATGATCTGAATTTTACATTTACAGTGATTTTATTTTACAAATTACATGCTAAATTTCTTCGGAAAAAAAGAGACATATTAAATGAAAATATGATATCTAACCACTGATCAGGGCCAGCGCCAGATCCAGTGCAAGCTGTGCCGGCTGCACCAGGTGATACGTATTAGAAGCAGCAAAGTTTTTGACATTTAGGAAGACATTGGGTGGCAAAAAGGCCTAGCACTGGCTGTGCCATTGATTAAAATGATCAGTGAGAGATTTGAAATTTTATCCAATGCTAACAGCTTGCAACTTACACTTGTATTTCCTTGTCGCTTTTTTATGCCAGCTTCCATGGCAAAATGGAAAGCTGCTAAACTTCTGGCTTCTTCTCTTTTGCTATTGAGGACGGGTATTAGTTTCAATAGCCAAGTCTTGGATTGTCCATGTACATGAGCAACGGTACTTTGAGCGAACTCAGCTGGAGAATGAGTAGTAATAAAGGGCTCGACGAGGTCTAGTGTTCCGGACCTCAATACTGCGGCTTCAATTTCTTTGTTAGCAACAAGTGTTGCAATGGCCAGGCATGCATAATATTTGATGTTGTCGTCCGTATGAAAAGCAAGTGGAAACAGCCATTCTGGTACCTATGGAAGAATAAGGAAAAGAGATAATAATATATATTGGCAAGATAATTAAAGAATTAAGAAATATTTTGAAAACATGTAAAATGTTACTTCATTTATATTATCTCTATACATAATATACTTTTTAAATAGAGCAACGCAGTTCTCTCTCTCCTTCCAGCAAATAATATTTGTAATATAATATTTGATTACGAATAGCGCGACCTTAATTGGCCCTTTGTCATAACACCTAGATCCGTCTAATCGTGGCATCAACTAGAAAATAAGCTTTGGAGTGGAGTAAAATAAAAAGCTGTGATTTGAGAAATGTTTCCACAACTTCCGCCTCTGTATTTCTAATTATTATACTTTCTGACAGTCTAAATCCCGATCTCTTGAAAGTACTTATAAAAAAGGAAAGAAAAATAAATATGCATTGCTCTGTTAAAATTAAAAAGAACTTTTTTTTTGTTTTCACATAATAAAAATAAGAAGATTATGTGCTTAGTTGTAGAACTTATGTAAATAAAAATCAATTTCGTTGCTTTAATTTAAGTGGACTGATGTCGGTTACAATTTAGATAAGTAAAAAAAAAAAAAAAAATCATTGATTGGGTTTTTCCCCACCTTAATCTCTCTCTTTTTTTTTTTTTTTTTTTTTTTTCTTTTTAGCTCAAGAGAACGTTAGCCCGAATGGGCTACTACTAGCGACAAAATGGGATTCTGGCACTGTAAATGGCTGTATAATTTTTCAAATTCTTGCCACCAAATATTATCGCCTGTATTATTTTTAAAGAAATTAAGTAATGAAGAATCTGCATGTATTATGCATGTTATATGTTATATATTTTGTATGCAATATGTGCCTCGCATTCTGGGAAAAAAAAAAACATTATCTGGAGCCATCAAATTTTGAATAACGTAGACCTCCACCCGAAAATGTGTATTTACATCAACGAATTTTGAATTTCGAATTTTATATTTCATATTTTGTAAAACTTTAAAATAAATTTTTGATTAACAAACTCAACTATTTGAAAGCCAGCAGTGGCAGAACTGTAAGGGAAAAAAAAAAAAAAAAAATTATCTCCATCGCATGAGACTGCATATCAGAAAATCTGAAGATATGCTTTTTTAGCTGTAGAATTGAATTCTATGTGACATAAATGCAAAGAATATTATATTTAATAAATAAAGTTAACACACAGAACGTTAATAATAAAAATACAGAGAAAAGGTTTTGCATGACAACTTACTAAGAAAACTGAACATTGGTTTGATGAAATGAGAAAAGACTGAATAAAACAGAAAAATGTTTGCCAACATTTTGAATTCTAAACATATGTTATTATGCTGCTTTTAAAATTTTTGTTATTTTACTGTCGAATTATATATGGCGTAAATGCAAAGAAAATGCTGCTTAATAATAATAATAAAAAAAAGATAAAAAGAAATGGGCTGACAGGAGTGAGTGTAACAGCAGATTGGTAGATTGCGAGCTTAGCGAGAGCGTAAAAAACCTTAACAAATCCTTTTGGACGAAAGTTAAAATCTGAACTCTTTGAGATTATTTTTTTCTTTTTCTTTTCTTTCTTTTTTAAATAAATTATTTTTATTTTTTTAACTACAATAGTAACTGAAATAAAATTCAATAATCGAAAATAAATGTTTTCTTTCCTGAATTACAGTAAATACATATTTGAGATACAGAAAAACTGAAATCCTCGGTATCTAGTTTTTCCAGAGATTCGAATGAGCTGTGATTCCAGTCAGTCCGAATATCTGGCATTCTGTTATAGTTTTTAAAGCGCTCTCAGGGGTAAACTGAAACTATTTCCCCATGTTTTTAAGCTTGTTGAGTTTTGTATTTCAGTTAGGAGTTTTAAAATACTTACTTTGTGTTGTATCATGGCCTCCTGGTTTTCATGGCCCCCATGTAATGACAGGTTTGCCAAAGCTGCGGCACAGTGCCTCAATGTTTCAATATCCATGTTCCTGCACTCGTAGAGGATGGCAGATAGGCCACCCAGACGAATCACCTCATCACAAGTGTGTTCTTCTGTCTTGAAAAGGTGCTCCAGAATGCCTGCCCCGACTCGAGTTTTCTCAACGCAAGGAGATGTGGAACATTCGCATGCTACTTGGACAACAGTTGAGAGATCTTTCGTGGCAATGTAAGAACGGACATCAGTAGTCAGCGTTTGTTCCAGTAAACGTGCACTTTCAAATTTAATGGCGTCATCCTCAGAAGTGAAGTTGTTAAGCAGCAGTTCAATGCCACCTGTAAAAGAGCAATCGAGCGTCATCAGTGTTTTATATCTACTAGAATTCCTTTACAAATGCTGAAAATTGGCGCATGGCGTAATGAGAAAGAATGCCAGACTCAACAATCTCAAGTACTTGATGCCATATTTATTATAAATTTCTTGATTAGTCCAAGTAAAATTATATCTTTTCCGAAAACAAATAAGTCGCTTCTTTATGATTATAAATGAAATCGCACTATAATCACGGTTTAATTTGCTATAATAATAATTTTATGATGCAATATTTTTTTACAATTTTTTTTATTTAAAAATCATCGAAACATAACACGTGAATTGAGTCATTGTTTTAATAAAAATTTGTGATGCAAAAGTTTTCCAGTGTGCATTTGTGATATCCTAAATTTCCTATATGTATTTGTGAAGAAATAATTATTTTTCCTATCCATTTTTCTTCAGAAAATAAACTTTAAAAGCCAAAAGAAACGTAAAATCTTCATATTAATTAGCCAGGTATACTTATCAGCAAATGTGTAATATTTGTCATTTCTTATTCTGTGTATGGTCACATGCAGAAATCTCTCAGTGGCATTATCTGTCACCATCTTTTATATATCCAAGCAAAAGAAGAATGAGAGTAAATGAACTTGCTATAAGTCTCTTGTACAATGAATGAGATTAGGAGCTAGGAATAATGAAAGAGATTAAAATCTATTTAAAGAATTATACTGTACTCTGTTCTTTAGTAAACTGCGAAAATCGAGTAAATATGACGCTTATAAATTTCTCAAACACTAAGGAGATTCCTTGAAAGTACTATGCATTATCGTCAAAGTACAACGAAAAGAATACAGAAATTAATTTCATTAATGGAAGAAAAGTAAAGTTAAACAATTAAAAAACTGAGGTGTTTGAAATAAAATTGCTCAACAAATTGGGAAGATACTTAATCATTTAAAAGGCTCAAGGAAATGGAGTTTGCTAATTGGGTGATTTCTTTGGCTAACATTGGTAGAAGATATCTGAATTTCGATCAATGCTGAACGAAGGATATTTAAAAATTTTCATTTTCTCAACTTAGATTTCATATCTTTTAATGCGGACTTTTTAAGCCTTCCTGGTTTGACCGATGTACAGGGCATTCCAAACTACCACTATAATAAACATTCTAAAAGATCCCGCTTAAAATATTGCAAGGGAAAATATTTTCTATTTTTCGAATTAAAGTACATTTTGGAGATTACAAATACAAAAGTCCTTGTTATATCACTTCCGCTAATGTAAATTCTACCACAGAGACATTATTATCGTTTATTAATATATAAATGAAGTTATCTGGTCGTATGCCTCACAAAACAAACATGATTAGAGAACGGGAAAAGAAGTAACACCAAGCGAATATTTACATACACTCTATAACATACGTAGCGACACACCAGGAAGGTCCGAATGAGACGCAATTGCGTATATCCATACTTTAAAAGAGAATATGAAAATTAACTTTCTGACTAACTTTCTGACTAACTGGCCAATGACTGACTAACTGGAGCTCCAGCGCATTGCAACGGAGCACCAGGATGATGTATAAAACAGAAAACAGAGGACATTCCAATGCTAAGTCATAACTTCCATGCGAATGTTATTCCTTTGACTCACATGAACTATACCAGTGCCAGATTTGCGAAAAGGATGATCTGTCACCATTTGAGAAAGGACGTGCAATTGGATTAAAGGAGGAAGGGTGGTCAAATCGCAGGATAGCTAGGTATTTGGGTCGGAGTGACTCAAAGACGTTGGCAGTTCATTCATCACCTTTCGAAAGTGTTGGCAGGACTGACAGAACCGTGGTCATACAGAGCGTCAAGAATGTAGAGGTCGACCAAGAGTGAATTTGCAGTATGCTGGGCGCATTCGATCTGGAATCTCACGGTTTGGAGTTGAACTATTTTCAACAATGAGACTCACTTCGAAATAAGCCCCGATGACCAGCGAAGACATAGCTTAAGATGACCAGGACAGCGTTGGGATACTCGCCTGACTGTCATTCGCTGCACGAATTGACAACCAAGAGTTGTGGCATGAAAGGGACATTTGATTTGATATCTGAACCCTTTTGGTAGTAACGACAGTACGTCGATGTCAGTCTACGTCCCGTAGTGTTGACCTTTCCTCCTGGCTGACATTTAAGCAGGATAACACCCGGGTGCATACATCGTGCCTTTCTACTGTTTGTCTTCGTGCTTCTCCAACACTTCTCTATCCGATGCAATCTCCAGTTCTTTTCCCAATAGAACACCTTTAAAATCTGATGAACAGGAGTTTCTGACCGTTCCTGGCTCGCGCTGATCTAATTAGCCAGGAAGAAATAGCGTATGAGGTAAGCAATCTTACAGGAGGTCATCTGATAAACCTATGAGTCAATGTACAACCGGATAAAAGATTGTAGAGCTAGAGGTGGGCCAACGCATTACTGATTTTTTTTTCTCTTGTAGCTATATTTTTCTAAATAAAGTATTAAATTCGTATATCGCTTTCAATATATGTACACCCCATCTACCTATTTTTGTCCTAATCGGATAACACCTTCTTGGTGTGCTGCTTTTTATGTTATAGGGTTTATGCTGAACTACTTAATTAAACTGAAAAACTGCCAGCATGTCTAGGCAATACTGTAGACTGGAATTATAGCCATTGACCAAATAACTGAGCTCATATTACGCTGGTGCTCTGGTTTGCAGTTTTTATAGATATAGGTTATATAATACACAACTATTACTGGAGGAATCCCTAAGTTTCAAAGTGGAAGACAGAAGTTCTACAGTAGCAAAACTCAGTTTTATTCTATATAATTATTATCTATTTATAATTTCAGCAGTGAGTCGAGAATCTGCACTGCCGAAAATTAATATATGAAAATCTTGATGCATATATCTCCGAAATGCTAAGTCCAAGTTACGAATGGAAAAATAGTTTTCTCAGTGGAATCGTAGAATATGTTTATTTTAGGGAAGAATCTGAATACCTTGTATAACAGGTCCATATCATAAATTTACTACCATCCTCTAAATACTACTTTATTTGAGCAAATGAACTTATGTAAAATAAGTTCAATTCCATTTTATTGATAAGTTTTCGGTTTCCTGTAGAATTAGAATTAGCTTTATTAGTTTTGTTGAGAAGAAAATAACGGTATTATAGTACTAATTTAAAGTGAGAATGGCATTTCTTAACGCAAGTAGAAAATCTTTTTCAAAGGCTTAATCTATGATATGAAGTTAGAAACCCCTGTGTATCGAAACAGCTATTAAGTAGAAGAGTTCTGACGAACAGCCAAACCAGAAGAGTAAATGTGATGTCTCGGTAAATGTAAGAGTAAAATACAGTCGTCTTTTGTGTAGTAAAATGATAGGATGGGAAGAGGGACATTGAGAAAGGTTTTCGTATTAAATGGCTAGCTGAAAAGTAAATTGAATGGCAAGATGATTTTAGTTCTTAAAAGATAATACTCTAATTAAATTATTTTTATTGTTACAAAAGCTATATTATGAAAAAAGGGTAAATTGCCATGTTTTAATTGCCATCGATGTAAGAAATGCACTTACCTTTATTCAGGAGGCTTTTACAGAGACTAGATCCCAAGTCATAACCTACAGTGCTGACAGCCCAAGATTTTCTTATGAGGTCATTCATCAAGTAGAGTGTATCCAGCTCTTCTTTCTTACAGATCGCATTTTTCAGGTTATCGATGAGAGCATCCATACGTGCTATCACGCGACCCATAGCCAGCTCCTGATCAGGAGATTCAACAGCTTTCGCTAATAAGTCAAAATCATCCTGAAGCTTATCTGCTTTTGGTGCCTGAGGAGGTCGATTAGAGCCCGTCTTGGAGGTAGGACTATTTTTAGATCGCTGAAAAACCTGAAAACGTATTATAAATGCAATATTTTGCTGTTTTACAATCTCAGTAAAAGGGATAAATATTAATAGAATTATTTATTCAGCAAAATGTATTAGCAAGTATCTCTAAAGCAGTGGTTCTCAACCTTTTGACTAATGCGTACCATCTAAACTAAAATTGAAAAACTTTAGTATCATCACTACATTTTACAATGATTATTTTTCGGTTTCTCGACAGAAATATTAAAACAAATGTATTTTGCCAATTGCACAACCTATTCGCTATCTGTATTAAACATGCATACATAAAAAATATTAAATTAAAAATTGGTTACCATATGAATTATCAAAATTTAAGTTATAATACTTACATAAATTGCTATAAATTACGTTGTAATTCTAAATTTTAGTGTAAAAATTTGGGCCTGTTTAAGAGAGATCAATTTCTTTATGTCTGGTCTTATTTCACTCAGTTTTAACCGTAAAATTAGAATCCACTTTTAATTTTGTTTTGTATTTATTTTTAAAGTACACAATGGAAGAAAATCCTTGTTCCCACAAAAAGGCTGTGGGAAAAAGAAAGGAAAATTTAATAGCTTTATGTGAAATGCCTTTAAATTCCTTTTTTTTTTCGGTTCATATAAAAGTTAACAAGTGTATTATTTTTGAAATCTTCAGTTAGATACTTCAGTCTTCAGTTAGTGTTCGAGCACATGAAATTTCTAAATTTCTATCAACAGCTCTTTTTCTTCTCCATTTAAAATTTCAGGTACGTTTGAACAAAGTGGAAATGGTGTATATTTTCCTTTTCACAATCCTCGGGAAACTATATGTTGAAATTATCTATCAATGAAGAACAATGATTTTTTAGGTCGACTGCTAATTCTTCTTTTATTTTCAAATTATTTCCGATTGAAAAATTTTCTAAAGTAGTAAAAAACTTCAAATATTATTAATCAATTCTTTGATTCTCAGCCCGAGTTTTTTTATCATTGTATTTAATTACTCTAATGATAAACAAGTTAACACTTTGTCCTTGTAATCCTAAATTTAATTCATTTATCTTTCCAAAAATATCGACTAAATATGCTAAACGCGTCAACCCTGATTCACTAAATAAACATTTTTCTAATTCAAGTTTTGAAAGACAGAGGAAAATTTGAATTTCTGATCAAAAGACGGTTCAAAAAGACGGTTTAAAACTTTGCCTCTCGATAACCCCCTTACTTTGGAATGTAATCAAAGCGTTTGATGCTTACTGCCCGTCTCAAGACATGAAATCATAAATATTCTTGAAGCTCGGATTTTAATAAAATTAACAATTTTCACAGCTTGATTCAAAACGATTTTCAGGTTTTCCGGGATTGTTTTGGCTACTAAAGCTTCACGGTGAATGAAGCAGTGAGTAAATTTACATTCAGGTGAGACTTTCTTTATTTGAAAAATAACACCGGAATGTTTTCCTGTTAAAGCCCGAGCTCCATCACTCCACACGGCAATGCAAGTATTCCAAAGAATATCATTCTTAGACATAAAACTGTAAATTATATTTAAAATTTCATTTTCAGTTGTTCTATTATCAGGTTCATTGTTCCGTCTTACTTTCTTCGGGAACATGCAAGGACCTGACTCGGAACAGAGAGCTTACTAAAGCTATGTTCAATAACTGTGGGAAGTAGACAGGATACACAAGAAGGGTATACAAAACCCTTTATTTTTCTCTATTTACAATAACTTCCGTACTTCGGAATACAAGACCCACTACTTCGGGGTCTAACGTAAAAATATAAAAATAAAACTAAACTCTTAACTTTGAAATAATAAAAACGTGGAAGATTGGCCTTATATTAACAGGAAGCCGTATGTAGTACAGAGAACTGTGAACACTACAATACGTTTAAAGTTATCAAGAGGATTAAACCTCTGGCCTGGAAGGCAACCAGCAACTGAGTAAAACTTCTAAGGTAAGCGGCCTGCTTCGAACTAACTGCTTCCTCTCTCTCGCTTGGCAAAAAGCCACAACTTAAATACTTGGCGTTCGCCAGACAAACTTTGCATAAATACGTTAACGCTTATAATTCTGGCCGGAAGTAGAAAATAAGAAGTGATAGTAAAGATTTAAAATAAAATAAACGTTAGTAAAACTTAAGATCCTTACATACTTCCCGCCAGAGTTAATTAGTTTGAAACTGAGGTCTAAAACGACCTTGTTGAAAACTTTTAGCTCTAGAATATAACTCGAGGCCAACCTTTTACAATCATTACTTCGTTAGAAACTAGAAAATTTAAAAGAAAGAAATTTGTTTTTACAATAGCAGCTCCCAGGACACGCAATTTTTTCATCTGTACTGCATCTAAACAGGAGCTTTTTTCAAATCTGGTTCCTTCCAGAGATCTGGAAGGAAAACTAGTTTAATGAAATGTTACACAATTAAATGGCAAGTAACATATATAATTATATTTCTCTTAACATTCTTATTTCATTCATGACTATTTTAATTATCTCCCCCGTGCTCTCTGACATGTGTTGTAAAAGAACACCAAACACGAATGTGTTTATGTCTACGTGTTCAACACTTCCTCCTACAATCAAAGCACTAACGTGTTAAAAATTCAACATACCAAGACCTCGTAACACACCCTAACTTCAACTCTAAACCCTGAGGTACTATTCTCAAAGTGGCTAACTCTGAAGTGTAGCGTCAGAGAGCCTAACTACATTCATTCAACCTTTAACACATATTCACCATGATTTGGTCTTTTTACAGTCACACGAATAACAAATTTTTAACATTACTTTCACTTTTACCATATCACGGTATTTCTTAAACATTTGAAAATAACAGTTCACATTGTATATAAGAACATATTAACATGCCGTTAATTTTACGCATTTGAACAACATACATTAGTAGTACATTGTTAACTTCTATTCTTTTCAAAGCAAGTGCCAAATTCTTTCTACACTGAAATACTACATTTCAAAAAGTCTTTCAGACTAAAACTTCTTTCTTGCCAGAATGTTTTAAATAAAATTTATACAATAACTTTTACAATATTTAAGTATTTACACAATCGCTATTATACATCAACTTTAGTTTTACGCGCGAGTAATTGAAAAACATAATAAGACCAAAATCGGTAACAACTCATTTCTCGCCCTTTTGGCGATAAAGGTAGACCTCGCATGAGGTAAAACTTCTTGAAATCTGCCACTTGCAGTAAGAATGAAAGATTAACTTAAGTTTGCAAAGTAACATAAAATTTTACTTATCTTTGTGATATTCGGACATTCTTTTCTGGCCCAGTCCTGGAAAGGTAGCGTAGATTCTTGTTTGATTTATCCTCCTTCTTGTGCGGGCTCGCCCTTCAGTGCCTTCCTCTAGGAAGCTTTCTTTTTTTCCAGTTCGGTCACCCTTGAAGACCTTCCTTTTCGCCTCTGCCTGTGGTCTTGGCCGTTTGATGGCAGCTGGTCTTGGCGGAACCGGGAAACTTCTTTCGTGTTCCTGCTTGGACCTCGTTGCTGGCCGTTCAAATTTTCCTTGTAACTTTTCCTCCGCCGCTGGTGGCCCTTCCGCAGTTCGGCGACATTTGCTGCGGAGAGTTCCTGTCGGATGAGTAGATCTTCCGTTTTAGAGCCGGGTTATAATTGCCATCATTTCTCCTGGCTCTCTTTGCATACGTCGTCCTTCTCCCTTCTTCATTCTGGGGGTGTTCGTGAGCTCTCTTTTCTGGACGGTGGAACGGCTTCTTTTTCTTGCTTACCTTCAATTTTCCCGCGGGGAAACTTTCTTTTCACTTGCTCCTGCCTCTTAATGGCTTGCCCTTGTACTTGTCGTTGTTCCACCTCTGGAGCTTGTGCCTGCGGTGTCTGCCGTGCCGGATCCTGCAAAACATCTTTGAAAATTTGCATTTTATTACGATCATAGTAGGGTTTGATTTGATCAATATTTGCGGAGCAGGTTTCACCATTCTTGGCTTTTAACACTACTACAGCGTGAGTTATTTTTTCTGTGACATATTGTCCTTCAAATCGTGGAAAAAATTTGGCAGTTTTATCTTCTGGTGCTGAAGAAAGTGAATGCTTAATTTTTAATACTTCATCCCCTACTTTATAAGTTACTCCCCGTCGTTTCAAGTCGTAATACAGCTTTTGTTTTCTCTGTGCTACTTCCGTATTCTTTTTTGCTTCTTTAATTAGTTTTTCTATATCACCCATTTTAAATTCTGGGGCTGTTTGTTGCACATAAAATAATTTATCTAACGGCGTTAAAATCTTTCTGCCTAAAAATAACTCAGGAGTTTTGCCCGTTGTATCATGTTTTGCGGTCCTAAGGGCGAAAGCAAATTCATTGACATAGTTCTCCCAGCTTTTATGAAAATTGTTAACATAACTACGGATAATTTTCACTATATTTCTATTCACCCGTTCCGCTATATTTGATTGCGGCCGATACGGGACCATTTTTAAATGACGTATGCCCAGTTTTTGGCACATGTCTTCAAATACATTACTTACAAATTGAGGACCATTATCCGATATAACTTTTAGGGGCGCCCGTATTTTAAAATATATTTATTTAAAATAGAATCAGTAACTAATTTCGCGGAGGCTCGTTTTAAGGGAACAATTTCGGTCCACTTACTAAAATGATCAACCATAACAAGGAGATAGCGACTTTTATTTAACTGACTTTTTGGGAAAGGGCCCAATAAATCGATGCCAATTATTTCATTTGGAAATTCGGATTTAATACTATTTAGAAACCCGGCCGGGCGGAAATTAATATAATTAACTGCTTGACACTTTTGGGCAGGACTGGACATACGCCCTTGTTAACTTTTGCAGTTCAGGAAATAGACTGCCTCGCGTACGCGTTGGATAGTTTTCCGAATACCAGCATGAGAAGCTAAAGGGCTGTCATGCAACTCCTGCAGGATATTTAATCTAAGACTAGCTGGGATAGCAGGTCGAAATTCGTTGTTGGAATTCGTAGTTTTTGTATAAAATAATAGACCAT